TTACCCCGCTATACCGCTACCGCAAATCCTACGCAATCGCGGATTTTTGGATAAATTATCACGTTATATAACATGGCACCGCTGTAAGTCATCTATATCACTGCTACGTCTTTACTACCACTAATTGGGACGCAGGTCTGACCCTATAGTATAAATATTCTCCGAACCGATACGAGTCTTCTGCTGCGGTTTGCGCCTTCGATCGCTTCTGTGCGTTCCATTAACTTCTGAATCGCCGACACACCCGGCCGAACGATGGCCGCTCGCGATGATATGTATTTCACACCTTGAAGTGCCGTTAGTTCGCAATCGCGGCGACAGGTGTGTGACAAACAGGACCGTGACAAACAGATACACCTGTCGAGGCGAGGTGCGCGCGAGACGACGTTAATTTACACTGACGTTTAGATGCGGTCGCTTGCGACAGGATGTGTTGACAAAACAGACGAGCGAGGAGAAAGAGAGAGGCGGTAGAAAGAGAGAGCGAGAGAGAGAGGCGACGAGCAGAGATGAGAGAGGGGGCGTGGGGCGAAATAGAGTTTGAGAGAGAATAGCAGACAGATACAGAACAGAACGACACCAGATATATATATATATATATAATATATATATATATAATATCGAGACAGGGAGCAGAAGGGGGGCGGAGAGCAGAAGAACCAGAGAGGGGAGAGCGGGAAAGAGAGGCGAAGTAGAAAGGTTTGAGAGAGAGAGCAGAAGAGAGGAAAGACGAGAGAAAGAGAGAGAGGGGAGAAAGAGAGGGGAAGAGAGAGAGGGGGTGAAAGACACGGTTTATTTCCTGCTTCGAGCGCGTGACGCCGTAAAGTCGACGTAAGTTTCCGTGGCTTGAAGCGTGTGGATAATAAATCTCGGCGCACGCTCCGTGTCAACGTTTACCAATTTACAGTCATACGTGTTTGCTTTCCTTATCGCCTTACATTTCCTTGGCGACGTCAGCTTGTCGTTATCGTAATGCTTCTGTTCTCGCCGAGAGAATGAGAGGAGAGAGTAGGATTTCGCGTTCCGATAATCCTCATTCTCCTTCGGAAAAGACGGTTGAAGATTCCCCGCCGTCTGCAATCTAAGTGCTATTTACGTGTTACCTGTTCAGACTCCTAGCTATTGATCCCCGCCCTAGAGTCTGGGCTTTTGGCGGATTTTTATACGGCATCCGAGTCTATATACGGCCCTCGGCTCGACCAACATGCTAGGGGAAGTGGGGCATAACGGCACCCTTACTTGGAGCTCCCCGCACATACACTAATGCCTTTTTACAATTTTAGAGTGTCCATATCCACTTGATTACCTCATGTTGGCATTAGCGTTACAACAATAGGAGTGGAGGTCCCTTATCTTTTCAAGATTTCCGTTAAAAATTAAATATAATATTGAGTCTGAAAGGGCCATTCTGCCACGTATGGGCCAGATGGCACACCCCCATGGGTAATGATGGACCCCGTTTGGTCCATTTTTGCCCCAACTCACATTTTTGATGTGAAAATTGCGATTTAACAAACAAACCAAGAGGGAAGTCTTTGCTGTAACGATGAATTTTCAACTAATTTAATAAAGATGAACTGCGAAATTAATGATTTACATGCAACTGCATGGGCAGGAAGCATTGTTCAGCATCAATTACAACAGATGCTATAAAACTTTGAACTAGAAAATGTTATGGATTTAGGCCTTACATCAAGGAGTAGATATAACAAGAGGTGCGGCACGAGGTTCGCATTTCTTAACCGATTTTTTCTCATCAAAAATTTTGCACAATAAAGAAGGAGTTGTATACGCTTCCTCAGCTTATTATGACCACTTAATCACTCACCTTCATGGCACTGATATTTGTTAAGCATATAATTTGCTAGCGTTTCTGTAAATCGTAATCTTGCACGACCTTTGGAATTCGATAAATTTTTACCGGAAAAAATGGCGACTTGTTGCGAGGTATTAGACAGAATTTAGAAGCTATTCGTCTGCCGCAAATATTTAGCAAGCGGACAGTTCAAATCATGCGTGACCCCTGATAGGGTTGCAGCAGACAATCTAATTTTCGAATTTGCATCTCTGTGAAGAACCTGCGAGACCGCGGCTCAGTTATTGTGATCGCCAAACACAAGTAAATTTGACATACGTATCTTACATGAAGTAATCAATACTAATAATAACAATATTTCTCTGTAGTAGTTTGCCAGTAAGTATCACATTACGCGCGCGCAGGTAAATCAAGTACGATTTAAACCCCTATCGACGGGCACGCATGCATTTGGGAAACTGTCCGTTGCTAATAATTGGCGGCAAGCGATAGCTTCTAATATTGTCTAAAACAAACTCATACAAGTCGCCATTTTTTCGCGTAAATTTATCGAGATTCAGCTCGTGCAAGATTACGATTTACAGCAATATACGCATAGCAAATATATGTTAACAATATCATGGCCATGAAGTCGTGAGTGATAGTGCGTCATGAATTAAGCTGAGAACGTTATTACACTTCCTTCTTTATTGTGGCAAATTCTTTGATGAGAAAAATCGGTTTACAAATGCGGGAGGAATCGACTCCGCTGGTGCCGCACTCTTGTTATTATCTACTCTTGGCCTACATGCAATCTGCATGGGCAGGAAGCTTGTTCAGCATCAATTACAACTAATTTATAAAGATTTAGACTAGAAAATTAATGATTTACATGCAATCTGCATGGGCAGGAAGATTGTTCAGCCCATCATTACAACAGATATAAATAATATGAACCCCTAGTAGGCCCTATTATCTGGCTTAACCGGCCTTAAGGTACGTGTTCATTAGAGCAGGTGGCTTTTCGAGTAGACAGTCACTGTCACACCTCACTCCCCAACTTCCAGTTATCAAGTGGCATTAGGCCTAATTGAATCAATACTTTGCTTTTGACGTGTGGGGGGGGGGGTTAAGCACAGAAATCACAAATAAAGTCATCAGTGTCTTCGTCCCGTCGCCAGCACAACTTTGGTTATGGCCATTGTAGGACATACCAGTACACTGAAATCATTTGGCGTCTTGTGTAGTTTGGCTTTAGATCGTTATAGCATCTATTACCCGATGACCGGGCATAATGGACTACCGCGTCCATTATGCCCCATACCAAACTGGTCAATTGCCCATCGACACTTTTCATTGACACCCCATGTACACAATCTATTGTTAGCGGCCGGTGACTTCAAACTCACTTGACATGAGCCTAGGCAATTCTATTTAAATACATGCATCAGATGTTTGGAAGTTATTTCATCACATGGAACACCTCGACTAGAACTATGCGGGCCTACCTTAGATCAGGAGGGTGGCAAAAAATGTTTCATGCGTCTCACGCTTGTGTGGTGCCGGCACCTACGTCTATGTAATTTCATGGAGTCATTCATGGCTGCTGCCAGACGTCTATAATTTAACAAAATCCCGATAGATGGGAGCACTTCCTTATGTGTTTTTTTAGCGCTGTCTTCCGTTATGCCTCTATGTGTGCCATTTATGCCCCACCTTCCCCTACAGGTAGCCCCGCACAACTTCACGTTGATGCGCTCTGTTACTTAAAAAAACTAGTATTTGACAAAACTGCCTTTCCTTCGTCTCCTATCCCCTCTCCCTCTCAGCAAGCCTATATTATGAAGTTTTTTCTCAGACGGCACTGCACGCCCTAACACGGTGAGCGCGCGCATGCGCAAATATCTCCCGACGCTTTTTTTTTTATTATTGGAATCGTTTGTTCAGCATCTCAATACTCGACGAAAACTCGACGAAAAGAAGCCACCGCGTGGTTATGGGGCTAGTTTGATTTAATTTATTATATAATTATATATTGATGTATATATATATATATCCATAATCTAATGATATATATCTGATTGTTGGCTGCTAAAATATAGTATTGTAAATTGGTAATGTGTATTTGAAAACAACAATGTTTCCTGCTGAGCGACGCTCGCACCTAAACTAAACTTGTTTATACTTTTTGTCCTATAATATATATATTGTTTCACACTGAAACAAAATAAATCGCGAGGACTTTCTTTAATCGAATTAATTGATGTTTTTAATTCCGGCGGACCTCCCTTGACAAATTTACACCGCCTGCAAGTCTGCTAATCCATTGCTGATGTCATTCACGCTGCCACTTTTTGCTACATCTATTGTCGCGCCCTCTCCGTTTCTACTTTTTCGCCCGAAGACGTACCTATTGCTCTAATTCTGCGCGGAGATTTTCTGTTTGACATAGAACGCTCGGTGCCCGATCGGTGGCGTTTTGCATATCTCCGCTGAACGAAACTTCGGTTCGCCCCAGCAATGTATGAATTTACACCGCCACACCGACGCAGCCACGCCATCCGGGGAAAACATCATTTGGTGTGGCCTTCACGATGTCTGATAATTATGCGCGGATAAGTAGCAATTAGCGGAGAGTGGGTTATACTATTGCTAAGGAATATCGGGTTTATGAGGCGAGACATTCGCTCGCGCGCTCGCTTAGCCTACAGGCAGGGCGTGCTATTACAATATTGAACAGGGATTTTTTTAATTTTAAAAAACTTTTTATACAAAAAATAATTTAATTTTACTAAATCTTTTCACAAAAAATTTAAAAATAAATACAAACTTAATTAT